GTACAATAGTTTTGTTTCATTGGTCGTATAAACTTTCACTTTGCGAATATGTAGTACATAGTCAATCACCCTATAGTTGTCTAACCGCGAGCAAAGGCTGGGGAATAACATCTAACTATGTAATAGAAGTTCAGTTTATTGAAATTAGTGTTACACCCGTTTTCAAAATTACGCGACCAGCACAACGGAATAGCTATACAATGTTGACATGTCAGTTTTGTGTTACGCGCTAAAACTAGCAAACGTAAACAAAAGGCAAACAAAATTTCCAGTGTAAATTTTCCAAGAATCGACTCCGATTTTAACTATTCTTGAGATAAGGAGCTTCAACATGTCGGAGCTCGTAGGTGTTGACAGTAAGTCGACGAACGATGTTCATATTTGAAATTTTGTCAACATCGAACTGATCGAAATAACCAAAAGCACGCGCGTTACCGATAATAAATTCACTCTGACAGCAGAATTTGTGCTGAATGCAAACTAAATCCGTTCTCAGAGTGGTATTGTACATATCTATTTAATTAGTTTGTATTCACATTAGAAAGGTTGAACCAGGCATGTCAAAATCTACTTTTCTGCCATTTTCGCAAAAAAAGTTGTTCGCTTCTGGCTACAGTACTACATCATCACACGTCGATCAGCGCGCGCACTTTCACTTGCTGACAATAACTTTCAATTTGCAATAATTATCACTAAAATATTTTTAAAATCCTTGTAAACTTTTTCATATAAACCATGCAAAACATATACTTTAATTGACAACGAACCGCAAAACTCAAAGTTGTAAACATTCGTGACCGCATGACATAAGACTGACATTTGCACTATAAGAAAATTTCGGGCAGGCGCGTAATTTGGAAATGGTGTAAATTGGATTTCTTTTCGAAAAGCAACCTCAGCCCCGTGTTAGCGGATAATCTTATATGTCGCATGTATAAATAGACCACGATTCATCAAGATTGACGTGTCGTCGCTACTGTTGTGAAGTCCATTGTCTAGTCCATGGCTTCTTATTCTTAAGTTGTAAATTATACAGACAGTAGTGCGACCACCCATAAGCTCCTCAAATAATTTCCAAGACATTTTCAGATTAAGCTTACTCTTTCGAACACGGAAACGGGGGGAAAAACACTGATCTATCAGTGGGAAAAAGAGTCCACCTTGTCACCAGCCTGTTCTAAGGTACACCACAGAATAAGCACATACAGAAGTCCGAATTCTTGTCGCCGCCTTTGATGTTAGCGTAACCGCCACCACGCCATGATTCCCAATCGCGTCCTAGTCATTGCGCTAAGAAAGAGGCCGTCACCCCCCTGAAAACATTAAAAATGACCGGCTTGGCTTAGGCGTTCAGGGGGGTGAGTACCTCTCGTAAGCGCACTGGCTAGGAACACGGCGTCGTGTACGATACTCATTCTGGTGTGTGAAGTTTCTTCTGACGACACCAATTAGCCATTTCCCAAAGTCCTTGGTCTAGTCGCGCGAATCCCTTGTTTTGGAGGGGACAAGAAATGTGGCAGCACACATTTAAATTAAAAGTTTAATGTAAAAAGGAGGTATTGGTCGTGTAAAAAGTTGATATTTGATAGTAGATACTTCTACTCTTTCACATACAGTATTTGACGCCTGTCTCCATATATTTGACCCTCCAAACGATCCCAGAATGCACTGTGATCTCTTTTGGGAAAAACCTAATTTGTCCTTCGTTTAGTTTACGGCGAAATTTGAATTGCAACCATTTTACGCGTGCTTATTCGACGACGTATGCCAGAATACGTATCTTACACGCAAAGTTGAAGTCGAGTCAATTTTTCCAGCATATCGCCGATCGCACTCGGTTGCGTGTTTTCACACGCGTGTCCCTCGCAGTAGCGATCGAAAACAAACTTGCTAAGGTGCATACCAATTCCTTCCGCGTTCGAGAGGTTAACGTAATTATGGTCTTGGAAAATGTTTACATATCATTATTTTAAAAACCGCGACACCTGGCTAGATTAGTGAATGTATAGCAGCAATTTATTCATTCTCTGTAAATTTGAGCAAAAATTATAACTAATAAAGTAATACCCACTGTATTGTTTATCTATGATTTATATGGCTTATATCACTGATTTTGGTCAGTCGTAGGTTCTGTGATTGGTTTCTTTATGACAACGATGAAACACAATGAAACTAAAGGGTAAATTTCCTAAAATCAAGTCTCTTTGGCAGGCCTGGAAAAAACCTGGGACCAGTTGTTGGAAAGCTGGTTATCTTAACCCTAGGTTAACCTAAGGAAACTTGGAAACATTTCTTCAAAAATCTCTTCTGGATCAATAGGTGAATACGCGTTTCCTTTTCTGAAGTTTTGAAAAAAGTGGATGTGCGGAAATACTCGACCAAAGACACCGGGTTAAATTTTGACCCAGGGTTAATACTACTAATTCAGCTTTGAACAACCGCGGCTCCTGGAAACTAAAATCTGGCTAAATGGAACATAAAACTTGCTTACATTTCAGCTGCACTGTTTTAGATCGAGCACACAACTCGCCTACGACAAGTATTTTTAGCCGGAGTATCAGGCTCTATTTCCCCTCCTTAAATGCGGCCGGAGGTAAGAATGTAAAAAAGCCAAAATCCGGCTTTTCACCTGATTGGTCTATCAGATACAAAAAATTAATCTGTCTTTTGATTGGTCAGTGATAATTAGATAATACATGACATATTTAATAGTTTCAACCAATAATTAGATTGTTGTTTTACTGCGTGAAATTGCATTTCTTCTGGGACATTTTGATTGGATGGCTAAATATAAATTTACTGTGGGCGGAAAGCGATCAGATTTTGAAGTGCAATGGGTTTTTGTGTATAAATGTACACTCGAAAATGCCAACTACAAAAAGCACTTCAGTGATAAAATCCTAATCTACAGGGTGTATAAAAAAAGGAGACCTTTAGAAATCAAGCATATTGTTAAAATTTGAATGCCTTTTCATTTGCACATATGCTGAACCGTGGTGCGTGAAATATTGATGGGGTGCATATATTAGAAAAAGAGACCTTTAGAAATCAACCATTGTTATAATTTGAATCCTGGAGCACTTTGCTAAGCCCACGAGTGCGTAACATGCGATCTACGTAGTACGTATACTGTACATGGCAGATTGTTCCCAAGGAGCAGACAATCTTTTGTTTAAACGTTATTAGCAATTTCTAAAGGTCTCCTTTTTCTAATATTTCACGCACTACGGTTCAGTATATGTGCAATTGAAAAGGCATTCAAATTTTAACAATATGGTTGATTTCTAAAGGTCTCCTTTTTTTTATACACCCTGTATAAGCCCCTATCTTTTAACCACTTTCCCGTGGTCTACAGTACCTGAAAAAGTTTAGCCCTAAGGTTTAAAATAATTATACCACCTGATTGCAGGTTAATATGCCAATTTGGTTCCAGTCTTTAGCGTCTTGTGTCATGGCGACCACTAAAACAATGTTTTCAAAGAAATCCTACAAGAATTGAACAAATTTATAACGAAGAAGAAGCTTTATAAATAGTATTTTTTACTAAAATGGTAAGCTGTGATATAAACTTTAACCTACTGACAATCTGCTTGCAATAGAAGTAAATATTAGTATGAAATTTGGGCTATTTACATGTGTGTTTTTCTTCTCACAATACATGTATGCCAGAAATGACATCAAAATAATGTTAATAATTTGATCTATTTTGCTTAGATTCTCTCAAGAACAAAGCCTGCAATGGGCCCAGGCTCAGCTGGGACAAGCAGGGAAAACAAAAAGAAGAAGAAAATCCCCAAAGTTGAGGAATTTTTACAAAACCGAGACTTCACTGGTGCTAGAACTTTGCTTGAGGTATTATTAGCAGTTACAGTACCTGACATCTCCTCATGAGTAGCAAGTGCTCACGAGTGGCACAACTACTCATTTCAACTCATTACAACTGAGTACTCTTGCCCATGTATTTGGCATACAACAATTTATGCCATTTTGGCTCACACCAAAGCTGATTTCCAAGGCCGGAGCATACAGTAGCAGCCAAAAATGCATGTAGAATGCACCAAATGCCAATTTATAAATAAGCTTACCCCATTCCTATGACATTTGTCTCACTCCGCAAGCACTAAATGAAAAGCATTGTTTATATATATAGATATAGACAATGCTTTTCATTGGGTCTTTCCAGAAAAGATCCGTACTCCCCCCACGGAGGAAATTTCTGCCGTCCGGAGGGGGAGGAGAGAAAAAATTGTTTCTGATAATAGTAAATGTATTAAGACTTCCGAAGGGGGTAGGGGGCTTAACTTCCTATTTCCTCCGTGGAGGTGGTATGGATGTTTTCTGGAATGACCCATTGTGTGATTGTGGCGTGCTACAAATGTCAGAAAAATGGGCTGAGCTTGTTTACAAACTGACATTTGGTGCATTCCACACACAATTTTTGTTTGCCTATGGCTGGAGTTTGGTGAAAATTGTGGGGTGGAAAAAAATTTGGGGAGGTGCAGTCATCTAGTTTATGGCCCCATGGAATGTTATGGCTTACAATTACCCCAGCCCTCTTTAGTCAACTACATGGGGTATACATGCATGGGCGGGTTTCAGATGTTGGATCCAAGGTAACCGCATTCTAGTGTGGAAAGTTTGTATTGTGCAACTGAGATATCGGGCGTGAAATTTTGATGCTTTCTATTTACTGCAGATTTTGAAATAGCGTTTTAGTCTTTTAATTTCCGGTAATTGTTTTGCCGTTGAAACAGGGTCAATGTTACTA